AAGGGGGGGGTCTTCGACCTGAAAAATCAGGGGTTAGGATTTGCACCCAGTCGAAAGAAACCTTGCTATCGCAAGAGTAACTCCAGCTAGCTTCGCTAGCTTTCGTGAAGAATATCTTGTGCGACTCGCAGTTCCTCAAGACGGTCGAAAAAAAAGATCTGACAAGGAAAACATGCAAAAGGCCAAGTAGTTTGGAAGAAGACTCATTTTCAAGTACTGGTTTTGTGGATTGTCTTGCTTCGTCTGGCTTGTGTTGGCTTCCATTGGTTTCAATCTACGGTTGGTTTCAATCTACGGTTTGTTTCTCCGTGCGGATGTTTCGACAGCCTGCCCTGCCCCGGTTGCTTCAGACTAGGCCATGGCGAGAACAGGAAAAAGCGAGTTGAATCAAAGAGACGTGCCGGATTATATAGCTGCTTAAGCCTAGAAGAGGTGATCTTGTCCCTGCCTTGGAACGAAAATAGAACTGTGGAACACTGTTAATAAGCATCATTAGGCTGCCTGCCAATGCGGGCTCGAGCTGGTGGCCGGCGGCATGCCGAAGGCTGTAAATTGGTCACTAGAAACAAAAAAGAACAGCACAACCCTAAGAATTTGAGCTAACCGTTAGCAATGCACAAGCATTTATCTGGAGCTCCTGGCAACCTGCAAAGGTCCCTCTGGGTTGATCTCTTGCCGGTGTCCTGCCGGACGACCGGTCCGTCATGGCGGCCGACCGGGGGGAGATGGGTGGAGAGGGGAGAAGGAGAGATGAGTATCGTACTTTTGTCCAAACCGTCTCCAAATTCTCAGACCAGAACAAAAACAGTTGGTTGCTTGTAGCATCTTGCCCACGCAGCATGTGCTATGTCGTTGATGGCGTATTTCCAGTGCAGCAAATGTTTGGCCAAGGCTTGGGGAGAAACAACTCTCGCAGTCCAGCTCTGCAATCCAAGCATGCCAACCTGCTGTTCAGCACAGATAAACAGCCAAAACATCCCAAAATCTACGAAAGAAAGGAAATGGTTCTAGATTCTAGATGTTCTAGGCAGTGTCCGAGCTTGGAACAGGACGCAAGACACCACTGTTTACAGGTCACAAGTCACTCACTTGGCACTTGCTATGCACACATCACCAGTTGCTTTCGTCCGCCGTTGCAAATCAACATCTGCCGTCTCTTAGCCGAGGTTGGGACCGAGCAAGCGAAGGCATGGCCTATCACTCTCGCTATCACGTGTCGGACACAGAAAGCGTCTACCGGGTCTTGGGCCTGCAAGCAAATCTAGCCTGAACAAGGCAGCAAGAGGAAGCAGGATCCTTAGCACACGAACCAGAACAAAACCTCGTTCGCTCTTAGGTTGGAGGCCATCGCTATTAGGTTCCTTAAAGTGTTCTTCCTTAAAGTCTTTTACCAAAACCAAACTGCACTTGGCCAGTTCGTCGCCAAAGTTCCAGCTACGGCGCAAGGAGCGCTGCCTGGGTCGGACAAATCGGTGGTTGCAGACTGGTGCCATTCTGGTGTTCAGAAACTCTGCGCAATCTCCCAACTTGAATTCCTAGTCAAGGCGCCTTGCACCAATCATTGCCAAATTCTGCATGCAACTCACTTACAAGTGCCAAACTGTGTGTTTCACTTGCCGCATTCAAATTGCTCCTGGCATCTATCTGTTGCTAAGGCTAGCTAAGCAAATGAGTTACAAGGGGCACGCTACCATTTGTCGTTGCGAGCTCTGAAAGCTTTGTTATACTTCCTCCTGATCATGGCAGGAGGCTAGTGATATCGTGATAGTGCATCCATCTACATACTGTCTGCTGCAATAATTCTCCGCATGTATAAGTGTCATTGCCCCTCTGGTTGGAGCCAAAAGTAAACACTTCTCCTGATTCCGTCAATCTGTTAGTTTGTGCAAATGTCCATGCGCGCAACCCAGTTTGTTCAAACTTGTTTTGTATTGGCCGATGTATGGCACTCCCTCTGACAAGTTGATCACCACGGTGATGAGGGTCGAAGTTGATCCCCACGCAAAACATGCCAAGGCGAGCTTTTTGTGCGGGGCTTATGTCTCCACAAGCTCGTACCTTGACAAGGCTGCGTGTTCTTTGTCACTACCAGCAAACAATGCAATACAGTTGCCGCCATGTTGGACATTAGAGTCTTGCGGGAGTCAATCAGGTCACTCAATCTGCGAGAGGTTGGTCTTCCCAATCTGGCCAAGCATCCAGAATACACTCAGCAGATGCATTGTGCACATCTAGGAACCTTGCTTGTGGCTATGGGTCAAGACCGGATCATGCTCACCCCACGGTAAATGGAATGGACTACCAGGGATGTCGGCCTGCAGTTTTGGGGTTCGATTCGGCCCACATCCATATGCCCATGCCGGAAGAAGCGGCTAATATGTCAACCCATTGACAGCCCGCTGAGCCTTTTCGATGCTCTTGACCTCAACGTCAAGCTTGCCCAATTCATCGATGGTCAAGCGCATGAACCCCTGCGAAAGCCGCGAAGCTGTGGCCAAAAGCCCATCAATTAATGCAAAGAGAGTAAGGGGCATCAGACACATGTTTGTTCTACTAAGTAGCCTCCACCATCCTTATCGAAGAGTTCCTTGCAGCCAGAACCTGACACAGAATCAGGCGGCTGGCCAAGAGCATGGCCGTCAACCACTAAGCATCTCATCTCCTCTTCCCTGCGAATATACAAGGTCTCGTACTCGTCTGCATATGGTTACAAACTTGTGTAGTCCAAGGATATCAAGAATCTGTGAGTACATAGTGACTATGCCGAATGCGCTTGGCACATCAAGTCTTCACGGGCCGCAGCCGTCCCAGTATGGTTTGTACAAACAAAGACCTAGAAACACACCTGCAAACTTCCATCTCATGCAGATTGCCTTGCCCGGCTGAACGGAATCGGTCAACTGCGACTCTTGCAAACACAGGATCACCTAGCAAATGAGTGGACATAACCAAAGCATGTTGCACTTTGAGGCTGGGGATACAAGTTTCACTAAATAAGATACTACTATTTTCATGTCGAAAATAGAAAAGACTCTGTGCTTATCAATATTCCAACACAAGGAAGAAGGAATCACATCATCAACCCAACTGCACGGCATCCATGAAGGAAAGACTCCTTGCCTGAGCAGTCTCATCTCCACAAAGCACCTGACAGGCTCGACATTCACTCGACATGGGGCTAGAATGGACCAGTCACCATTATATAAGTTTTGGAGAGGAAAAACCTACTGTTGCCCATGTCAGGATGTTAGATTTGCTTTGTCTTCTGTATAATAAGTGCTTAGAATCGTATGCATATTAATCCTTCTCCATCTTCTTGAAAAAGGCTTTGGCTTCCCCATGTCCATTGTCCAACTCACCCAGCCGTCCGTAACCCCAAACAGACAATCCCTCACAAGGTAAGCTGCTGAGAGCGATGGCCTCCAACCTACCAACCATGGCCTCCAACCTAATAGTGATGGCTCCAACGTACAAGCAAAGGCCTGCAACCTGCTAGCGATGATGGCCGACAACCTAAGAGCGATGACCTCCAACCTCAGAGCCATGGCCTGCAACCTGATAGCGATGGCCTCCCTAATAGCGGTGGCCTCCATTCTAATGGCGATGGCCTCCAACCTACTAGCGATGGTCTCCAACCTACAAGCGATGGCCTCCAACCTACTAGCGATGGCCTCCAAACTAAGAGCGATGGCCTCCAACCTGCTAGCGATGGCCTCCAACCTACTAGCGATGGCCTCCAACCTACTAATAGCAATGGCCTCCAACCTACTAGCGATGGCCTCCATTCTAATGGCGATGGCCAACAACCTACTAGCGATGGCCTCCTACAAGCGATGGCCTCCAACCTAATAGCGATCGGCGATGGCCCCCAACCGACTAGCGATGGCCTCCATCCTACTAGCGACGGCCTCAAACCTACTATCAAAGGCCTCCAAGCAATGGAATCCAAACCTAATAGCGATCGGCGATGGCCTCCAACCTACTAGCGGTGGCCTCCAACCTACATGCGATGGCCTCCAACCTACAAGCGATGGCCTCCAACCTACTAGCGATGGCCTGCAACCTAAGAGCAATGACCTCCAACCTCAGAGCAATCGCCTCCAACCTCAGAGCCATGGCCTCCAACCTGATAGCAATGGCCTCCCTAATAGCGGTAGCCTCCATTCTAATGGCGATGGCCTCCAACCTACTAGCGATGGTCTCCAACCTAAGAGAGATGGCCTCCAACCTCAGAGCGATGGCCTCCAACCTAGTAGCCATCGGCGATGGCCTCCAACCTACTAGCGGTGGCCTCCAACCTACTAGCGATGGCCTCCAACCTACAAGCGATGGCCTCCAACCGAAGAGAGAGATAGCCTCCAACCTAAGAGAGATGGCCTCCAACCTCAGAGCGATGGCCTCCAACCTAATAGCGGCGATGGCCTCCAACCTACTAGCCGTGGCCTCCAACCTACAAGCGATGGCCTTAATAGCGATGGCCTCCAACCTAATAGCGATCGGCGATGGCCTCCAACCCACTAGCGATGGTCTCCAACCTAAGAGAGATGGCCTCCAACCTCAGAGCGATGGCCTCCAACCTAGTAGCCATCGGCGATGGCCTCCAACCTACTAGCGGTGGCCTCCAACCTACTAGCGATGGCCTCCAACCTACAAGCGATGGCCTCCAACGGAAGAGAGAGATAGCCTCCAACCTAAGAGAGATGGCCTCCAACCTCAGAGCGATGGCCTCCAACCTAATAGCGGCGATGGCCTCCAACCTACTAGCCGTGGCCTCCAACCTACTAGCGATGGCCTTAATAGCGATGGCCTCCAACCTAATAGCGATCGGCGATGGCCTCCAACCCACTAGCGATGGCCTGCAACCTAAGAGCGATGACCTCCAACCTCAGAGCGATGGCCTCCAACCTATATAGTAGCAATGGCCTCCCTCAAAAGGTAAGCTGCTTTGCCTCAAAGAACTTCGTGCCATCTCTCTCGACTGCTTCGGCTTCTGCAAGAACCTGTCGAATGCTCAGACTCGTTGAGCGTCGATTGAAGGCTTAGTCAGATTCGATCTAAGACACTGCGGTCTAGCCAATAGGACCGTGGCACAGAAAAAGAATACGGTGCCATCCAAACCTGCTTGTACGGGTCTTTTGGTGAGAACAACAGGTTCCAAGGAAGCAAAAAAATAGCGTCGAGTTCGGCCTTCACAAGCACGTCGCCTCGAGCATCAGGGTGCAAGGTGCCCAGCTTTTTGAACGTAGGCTTTTGCAAGCAAGCCTCCCATAGAAATTGCAAAAAACAATCTTCCAGTCGAAGCTCGACTTCAACTGGAGGAATTTTTGGATGTTACCTTTTGTTTGAACCACAGCGCCATAGCTGTGAAGAATCGACCCTCCAAGTGTGTCCTGCACTGAAAAGCTGATCTTGTGCCTGACTAAATACCTCCTCTATCAGCTGCAAGCCCTTCTTCGCAGCCTCAAGAACCAAGCTCAGAGTTCTACAGTAATTCAGTCCAGGTTATGTATATCTCTCTTTCATACGTGACGTCTTCCGATTCTAGCTTTGAGTTTCAGGAGTGCCTAGAAAACCCTTGGGAGACTTCCCTGCAGGAACCCAGTATCATTCTCACGAAAGACAGCATGACTCTGCAAAGCCCAAGCTCCTCATCTCCCATCTCGTCAGACGCCAAAAATCCCGGCGCCACACCCTGCCAAGGTGCTAACATGCTGAAGACGTGTTCATGTCTCTTCTTCTATCCAAGAGATTGGTGCAGCCAACCACAGGCATGTGCTTCAAAAACACAACCAATCGTTGTCTTCTACCTAGGGTCCAAGGTCGCCATTGTGCGAGATCTACCTTCAGGCTCGACCACCCCCACCAACACCCGTCAGAATGGCCTCTAAAATTTCGACCCTGCCACCAGCTGCCACAATGTTTTCAGCGGCAGCTGTGCTCAAACACCTGCGCGTCATCAAGGCGAAGGCAAACCTTGATTTGCAAAAGTGAAAACTGTGCTAGAAAGATATCAACAGCAAACTAGCATATTTACACTGTACACTACTTACTCGTGTGTTGAGCAAGGGCAGCCATACATGACCAACCATTTTGGCTCCTTGTATCTATGGCTGGCGTGCCCGACTCAAACTTACTACTTTCAATATTGTGAAAGCGGTGTTTGTCTGAATTCTACGATTCTTCCGAGTGATATGCGACAGAACTTCTGTGAGTAGAGAGAGAGAGAGACACAAACAGACAGACAGACAGACAGACAGACCGACCGACCGACCGACCGACCGACCGACCGACCGACCGACCGAC